AGGTAAACTTATCCTATGATTAATAACCAAACAAGTAATCACAATTTGAACCCAAATATCCTAAGATCGTGAGTGTCATTTAATTTGAATCTCTTTTCTCTCTTTTCAACTATGAAACTCTTTAAATTTATTTTTGTTCCTATAAGTTTGAGAAACAAAACTCATGTACAAAAAATAATTTTCTTGTAACGCGAGCTATAAACAAGGACACTTACTTCAAATATAATTCTATTTTCTTGTTTTATTTCTTAAGGACCTTTTTTTCTTTCTGAGGGGGTGGGGGGTGGGTTGGGGTGGGGGGGGAGCATAGGGCAGGTGGATTTAGGAAATAAATGAAAAATAAAAAGTTAAATAAATGCAACTGTCTGCGTAGTATTCGTCGTTAGATGATACGTCTAATTTAATTAGCTAGTCCCACCGACAATCATTTGTAGTATTAATTATTTCCTTTAATTATTCGTCGTTGTATCCTTCATTTTTGTTTCCTTTAATTTCCACGTACCCTTGTCTAATATTTGTAATAACTTCCGATTAATCTGAATTCAAGCCGAGTAAAACCCCTTAAACAGAAAAGCACTTTTTATCAATATTTTTTTTTTCTTCATAATAAGATTTGAATTCAAGATCTCTGATTAAGGGGAAAAGAATTCTACCTATCCCACTACAAATCCTAGTTGTCTTAATTTTTATTTTATGTTGCTTACTGACGTAAGTTAGGGTACACGAAAATATTCTACTACATGTTACTCTTTTAATAACTCTAGTTACTCTCCTAGGAATTAGGACTTGTCTTACCAATTTTTGTATACAAAAACCAAAGAAAAAAAAGTTACTTCCGCATGCATACGTGTTGTATCCAATTTAGTCTATAGCTTCCACACAATTCTTTTCTACGTTTTTTTTTCTTGGGGTAGAATTCTCAAGCTAACGTTTGTTATGATAATTGTTAATATTATTAATAATTCATGTTGTAATTGCTGTTATTATTTTAATACCGATATGGTGTTGTTACGGTGTGAAAAGTTAATAGTAGAATATTAGTATCGTTTTTAAATCATTTTGACCGACACATCTTGTCCCACAACGACGACACTACCAAAAAAGAAAAAGAAAAACAACTTCCTTAAACCTAACTAATTAATAATATTATGGCTTGTAATTGTTGCTTTCAATTTAAGGTTTTACCAAACGAGGCATAGAACCAACTTAAGCCTCGTTATCCAGAAAGCACAGTCACAACTAATGTCAAAGCATCTTTAATTTCTTATTGTCTTTCCTTTATTCTTGTTTTCATTTTTCCTTCTTTTTCTTTTTCTCTTTTTCTGTTTTTTAGGAACATCACTGGAGCCTTTCTTGTTTAATTTTATTTTTTACAAAACGCATTGCATGTGTCGCATGCACAAATTTAAATTTTCAAAAGATTTGAATTAGCAATTTATGAAATATCAAATTTGTAACATCTTAAGGATAGTCGTTGCAAGTTTACTAAGAATATATATTTTAAAAAGTATTCACTATAATTATATAGTTCGATTCGTAAGCAATATTGTGAACTGCACTATAATAATCAGAAAGTTATGAAAACATAACCGATAAAAAGAGAAATGTACAGAAAAATATGAGTTTTTTTGCATACATTTGGTATCTCTTAATTCTTAAGCAGCAATGAGCGTAATTAGAAATCTTATTTATTTGAATGAATTTATGAGGATATTTCAATCTTTTGGAATTTAAAATGACACGTTTTCATTGGAAGAAAATGACATATTTTCAAGTGTCCTTTCAAATGGATCTTCAAAAATGGTGGGTTGAATTAATATGTTAAACCTACAATAATTTCTTAGTTCTATCCTAATTGGCAGAAAGAATTTAAATCTATGAATGTAAAATACGAGCTAAAAATTCCTCTATCCAAATTTATCCACAAAGAAATCGAATATTACAAAAATGTTTTGGCCAAATTACTTTCTTTTTTCTCTTGGAGAAGTGTAATAACATTTTCACCTAAGAATATATGTACCTATGCATATTAACGGTCCAAATGAGGCAGTGATTGGTGCTTTTGGACCATCTTGATTCCTTGCTTTTATTTAAAATTAAAGTCTCTTCTTTGATGTTGAATAATAATAAAAAAATCTTCTTTGATACTCTTTTATTCTCCCAAAAAAAACATTATTTATGAATTAATCTCTTTTTTTTCCCACAACAATGAGAAGTATGCAATTTCAATTACAAAGTTTCTAAAATCAGGTTTCTATTCATTGTAACCAAGTACTAACTTACTCTGCTACTCACACTGAAAATTTGAGAAATGTATATTTTTACTTGTTTTACAAAATAATAATTAATAAAATATATAGTTTCTCTATATATATACATATTATATATACACACATATTTTTCGGCTAACGAATGCTACACTTTCGACCGACTAACTACTTTTATATTTTGCCCTAAAAAATTTCACGCGAGGACATGTTAATTTTGTACTATCACATGTAACATCTTATAACATCACAAACAATCCTTGTTGCAAATTTAACATCATTGCATTTAAAAAAATAAAGAAGAATAAAGTCCGTGTAGGGACATGTTGATGGCTAAAAGACCATTCAGTGTTTACCACTAGTCAAAAAGCAAAATACATAAGTTACCCCCTGAATTATGGACGAAATCCCTGTTACACATTCTTTGCAGACGAAAATTACCTTACGCACTCAACCTTTCAAAAGTGTGCCTAATACGCACTACTTTCTCTACGTGACCAGCGCGTGTTTTACAACAAAATAAGGCATGTGAAGAAACAGAAATATATATCTGATATTTTATTTGAACGATTCTGATCTAACAAAATTTATCTAACGGCTCAAATTAATTTTCCTTTTTCTTTTCTTTCTTTTATTCCTTTTTCTTTTACTTTGTTTTTGTTCATTCTTCAACGAAACAAAAAGTTCTCCCATGTTTGTCGTTCACAATTCCCCATATCCCCATACCGGCCTTTGTTTGTTTTCTTGTGAAGATTTCAATAATGAAGCTGGATGGCCTATGGAATTTTAAAGGTAGAGAGAGATAGTGTTTTTTGGAAGAGAGATCTTTTGGGTTTCTCCAAATTAATGGAGATTGGTTGATGAGAAGGTGAATCTATGGTCGATGTTGTCTTCAATTAGAGCCTTCACTGCTCTCTGCAACTCTTTTTTAGTTCAGCCACCGCCTTGGCCGCTAGCGACAGTCCTCTTCTGCCCTTTATGGTGGTTCTTGCCATCCTTGATCTTTATGAAGAATAAAATGGAATTTAAAGATTTTAGCAGAAAGATAATAAGTTCGACAGTAAATGTGTAAGCCTTCTTACTTAAAGAAGTTAATCCAGATTATTATTATGGGATTCTTTTAGAGTGAAAGAAAAATAATTTTAATGGAGACGTGAGATTAGGGGTGATGCTGCACTTGTAGTAGAGAACTTCACATAGCTGCTTTTTGATTGAAGAATAGTGGTCGGAGATGGAAGGCATGATTTGATGGTGGCCGATCGAAGAGAAGTCAGCCATGGTGATGGATTTAATGAAGAAGATGGGATCTAATTATAATTTATAGGTTTTTTCTTTTTTAGTAAGTTAATGACACGTGTCACTATCTGATTGGAGCGTGAAATTACACATGTTTTAAAAAATTGGTCAAGAAAAAAGTAGTGTGTATTAGACACACTTCTAAAAGGTTGGGTGTGTAAAAGGTTGCTCTTGGTCGAAAGGTGTGTAGCAGGGATTTGGGTGCAAGGTCAATGGGTAAACTATGTATTTTGCCCTAGTCAAAACAAAGTTTCAATTGTTCGAACCTGGACATGCTGAATTTTTTTTGGTCAAGTAAAAAGAAGAGTAACTGAACGAGTATTAAATTCATGATGAAAATTGTTCAAGACATCTGGTCTTTATTCATTAAAAAACTTGATACTTTAGAAGGATTTTCACAAACAAAATAAATGTTGCAATCAATTTAATTATAACTGAACTTAAGATCTCTCAACTATAGTTTGATACAGTTACTAATGCTTCCATTAGGATAGACTGGCTACATCACGCACATTGTAACGCGATTCTTTCTCGGATTCTGCATAATTACGGAATGCTTTATTAGGTACCGGACTGCCCCTATCTCTCAATTATAGTACCCTTCACTTGTATATGCCATGTCCAGAGGCGAATCAAGGATTTTTAGTACATGGGTATACTACTAAAAAAAGGAAGAAAAAATGTATCTAGTGAAAATTGATACCTATACCTCTTAGTAAATAACTCAACCTTCAACCAAGTGGATCGTGATAACATTGTAAATTGAATGAAAGATGATGAAATTTAGCTAGGGTTACAGTTGAGGTGAGAGAACGGAGAGAGAGAGAGAGGAAAATCAGACTTCTCTTATTTCATTCAACCAAAAACTGAGCTCAGAAACTTCTAGAGTATATATATATATATATATATATATATTAAAGGGCAAAATAGTAAACTCCTATCAAACCTAACCGGATCAATATAAATACAGCTTTAGTGGGCTGACTTTGGCTCAACTCTGACTATGGCCCTATGGCCCACATGTCTAATGTCATGTAACTCTAACACCCCCCCCCCCCTCCTCAAGTTGGACGGTAAGGTCACGCCCAACTTGCCGAGCAACAAATGATGTTGTCCACCTGTCAAGCACTTGGTAAAAATGTCAGCCGGCTGAGAAGAAGTACAGATATGATGCAAGAAAATAAGACCATCAGCCAATTTTGTCCTTATGAAATGGCAATCCACCTCAATGTGTTTAGTACGTTCGTGAAACACGGGATTTTTCGCAATACGTATGGTAGCCAGATTATCACAATAGATAGGAACAGGAGACACAGTAGGAAGGCCCAAATCAGTGAGTAAACGAACCAACCAAACCAATTCAGCCACAACCTTACTCATTACCCGATACTCAGCCTCAGCAGAGGATAATGAAACAACAGTCTGTTTCTTAGATTTCTAACTTATTAAACTCCCACCTAAAGATATGCAAAACCTAGAAACAGACCTACGTGACTCAGAACACGCAGCCCAATCACTATCACAGTAGGCAAGTATGGAAAAATTAGGGGAGTTATTGAGAAAAACCTCAAAATCAGGAGTGCCTTTCAAATATCTCAAAATGTGAAGAGCAACATTCATACGAGGCACCCTAGGACACTTGAGAAACTGACTTAAGTGCTGAATAACAAAGCACAAATCAGGCCTTGTGTGGGTGAGAAAATTAAGCTTACCAACTAAACTTCTAAAAGTGTCAAGCCTAGGCAACAACTCCCCATCATCGGATTTCAGTTTTACACCCAATTCAAGAGGAGAAACCACAGCTGAAACAGAATCACAATTAAATTCATGAAGTAATTCAGCAATGAACTTTTGTTGATGAAGAATAACCCCAGAGTCATCATAGAAGACTTCAATGACAAGAAAATAGTTGAGTAAACCCAAATCTTTGATCTTAAATTGGTTGTTTAGGAACTCCTTAAGGGCAGAGATTTCATTAAGGTCATCACGCGTAAGAATAATATCATCCACATGCATAGCAAGAAAAACATTGGAAGTGGCAGATTTCTTAATGAAGAGAGAATAGTCATTTAGTGAAGAAACATAACCCCTAGAGCAAAGAGCATTGGATAACTTGGCATACCACTGACGAGATTCTTGCCTTAGACCATAAAGAGATTTTTGGAGCTTGCAAACCAAAGTAGAAGTGTGTTGAACAGTGGAATTAACAGTAAGACCTAGAGGTAACTTCATGTAAACCTCCTCATCTAAGTCGCCATGGAGGAATGCATTGTTAACATCTAATTGAAAGAGAGACCATCCTTTCTTGATAACAAAAGCCACAAGACACCGGATGGTGCACATCTTGACAACAGGGGAAAAGGTTTCATGAAAATCAATTCTCTCATTATGTGTATCACCCCGTACTACCAATCTAGCCTTATACCTTTCCACACTACCATCAGTTTTATGTTTAACTTTATATACTCATTTGCAACCAATTGGCTTCTTGCCTTTAGGCAACTCAACTATTGTCCAAGTCTTATTAGCCTCTAAAGCATCAAACTTTTTCCTCATAGCCTCTTGCAAAGCAGGGTTGGCAGATGCCTGAGTATAAGAATGAGGCTCAGTTGTTGCTGGTTGGGCAGCAGAAAGTGATGTGGAAGTAGAGCTAGAAAGGGAAGGAGGAAGTTGTGTAATAAAATTATTAAGATGAGAAGGTAGTGTATGAGTCCTGCTGCTCCTTCTAACTTCAAGAGGAGGGACAGAACATGAATCAGGAGGTGCAGGAATAGAGGGATTGACTGGTGGATCAAAAGATGTAACAGGTGGATCAGGAGATGCAATAGGTGAAGAAGGGACAGAACAAGGAAAGGAATATGTTGAAGTTTTAGATTGAAAAGGATAATAGTCATCAGTAGGAACAGAAGGAACTGGAGAGCTAGGGGAAGGAGAAGACAAAATGAATGGAAAAATTGACTCATGGAAGACCTCATATCTGGAGACAAACACTCTTCTGGTGGACAGATTGTACAACTTATACCCTTTCTTACCAAATGGATAACCAACAAGCACACAAGGAGTTGCTCTAGGATCTAGTTTATCTCTGTTACACTTGGGGATAGTAGCATAGCATAGGCATCTAAAGGGCTTCAAATGAGTATAGGAAGGTAATTTACCATATAAAACTTCAAAAGTGGTCTTATTGTGTAAAACAGTTGAGGGGAATCTATTTATTAAGTATGTGGCAGTTAAGATGCAATCTCCCCAGAATTTTGTTGGCAGTTTTGATTGAGATAATAATGCTCTAGCTGTTTCTAGTAGGTGTTTGCGTTTTCACTCAACAACACCATTTTGCTGGGGTGTATGTGGACAAGAAGTTTGGTGGATAATGCCATTATCAGAGAAGTATTGTAAGGCAGAATTGGAGAGACCTATTTCTAGAGCATTGTCACTTGTAACTGTTTTAACAAGAAGATTGAATTGTGTTTTAATCATAGATATGAAGGCTTTCAACAAAGAAAAAGCTTTACTTTTAGATTGCATTAAATGGGTCCAAGTTGCCCTACTATGATCATCCACAATGGTAAGAAAATATCTATCTCCAGAATATGTGTGTGTGATAAGGTCCCCATGTATCAAAATGAATCAATTCAAACAATGAATTAGAGATAGAAGTGCTATGAGAAAAATGCAATCTATTTTGCCTTGCTAATGGACAAACAGGACATACAAAAGATTGTTTAGAAGACAAATCAACAAATATAGAAGGGACGAGCTTCATTTTAGCAAAAGGAATATGTCCCAGCCTATGGTGCCACAGTACATCATGTTTATTTATACTATGTACATCATTTGAAGGAACTAAAGGAATAGAGTTCAAAGCACTTTTATTTTCTACAACTTTATTAAGGGAAACATCAGAAACATTCTTAGGATGTACATTCTTATTTAAAACAGAAACAGGGAATCTAGAACCAGGAGTAGAGTGATGCTCATGAAGAAGCTTGTAATGTCCTTGGTCCAATTTACGAAGTTCCAGAAGCTTCCTCATGGAAAGGTCCTGTATGAGAATGCATGAGGAAGAGGTAAACAGGATTAGGCATTTAAGTTGTTGAATTAATTTGTGTACAGAAATCAGATTATAGTGAAAGGATGGAATGTATAGTACTTGATGGGGAGTCAAAGAAGGAGACAGAGTAACAGATCCAATAGAAGTAACATTTGCCTTATATCCATTAGGTAAAGTTACTAAGTAACGAGTAGTTAGTGGTGTGATGTTAAAGAGGATATCTTTACTAGAGGTCATGTGATCAGTAGCCCCACTATCTATAATCCATACATTTCTACTAGCCCCAGACAACAAACAAGCATGAGAGTCATTATCAAAATAAACAGGCAGAGATAAACACTATCAGCAAAGTTGGCAAAAGCCATCAGGTTGGACTGAGAGTCAGAATCAGAACCAATTTGAGTTTGCTGCGGCAATGTCATGAGTTGTGAATATTGTTGTTTGGTTAAACCAGGAATGGATGAAGCTTGATCATCACAGAGTGGACCAGGAGTACCATTACCGGGAGTACCATCACAGAACTGAGGAGAAACATACTTCTGACCAGGATATGGACACCCAATCTCAATGGACACATTTGTAGCTAACCTCTTTTCTTTATGAATTCTGGGAAAACCCATGGAGTTTATAACATTTGTCAATTTGATTTCTTACAATACTTACAGAACACATTGCTCCTGGACTGACCAAAGTCTATCTTCTGATTGTACTGTTTTGGACGAAATGCCTTATTGTTCATATTGGCAGAAAAGGAAGCAAACTCTGGAGTTAGTTGAGGAGTGAAATGAACCTGTCTTTGATTCTCATCTTGAAGGAGTATATTATATGCACTATCAAGCGAAGGAGGAGGTTGCATCATCAACAAATTACTCCTAACCCCTACATAAACTTCATTCAAACCCATAAGAAACTGATGTAGCTTATCTTCCTCCTTAGAGCTGTCAAAACGGGCCAGCCCAAGCCTCGCGGGCTTTTAAATTTGGTAGGCTAGGACGGGCCGGCCCGCCACATGAACGAACCTTAAAATGGCCAGCCCAACCCAACCCTAAGAGTGTTGCAGGCTAGGGCAGGCCGGCCCTTCATTTTTTTTTAAGAAAAAAGAATTTCTTTAAATCCTTAAATATTATTTCGTGACATAGTCGACTAATCATGTAAATAACTTCCGTTTGCTTAGAGCGTAAAAAAAGCTTGATATTTGATGAGGAATCTCGTAATTGAAATGTAAATTTTCTATATCTCTAACTCTTCTTTCTTAAAGTTACAGGAATATTTTCTTAATGCTTTACTTTTATTTTCTCCTTTTGTCTTCTTTTTATTATCTTGAGCCGAGGGTCTTTCGAAAACAGCCTCTCTACCTCTTCGGGGTAGGGGTAAGGTCAACGTTCACACTACCCTCCCCAGACCCCACTTGTGGGATTTTACTAGGTTGTTGTTGTTGTTGTTGTTGTTGTTGTCGTTGTTGTTGTTGTTTACTTTCATTTTCCTCAGATTCAAGGATTGCTTCAATAAGTTTAAATGCTGAGGTTTTTTAATTTAGGATTAATATCATTTACTGATTTCATCATTATAGTCCATAAAATTTCTAAAATTCCTGAAATTTGCTAGTGGTCATTTTTTTTTTTGTATTCAAAATTGATCTTTTTCTATACTAAAGAGCAGTTTAAATATTAATAGTATATTAAAGTAATCCAAACTGATCATTGGCCACTTAAAGTAATATTTTCTTTTGAAAAATGATTATTATTGGCCAACTAAAATTTTTCGAGTTCGTTATTAATTAAGCAAAAGAAAAATTAATTTTGTCATATTACATGCATGTCAAAAATTAAAATTCTAGTTGATATGGAAGGGTAAATGAGCAATCTAGGGTTGGGGAATGGGGATTATAGTTAGTAGTTTTTTTTAGTTTTTACTTTTTTAAATATAAATATTTAATAGTTAATTAATTTATTAATTTTTAGCCCACGGGCCGGCCCAGGCCCAGCCTCGGTCAAGCCTCAAGGGCCAGCGGGCTGACTTGGGTCGGGCTTATAAGTCTCAGTTTTAAATGGGCTCAAAAAATCCTAGCCCAACCCTACCCAAGTAGCGGGCCGGGTTGGGCTGGCCTCACGGGCTAAGCCCATTTTGACGGCTCTATTCCTCCTCATCTTTTTGAATACCTGGCTTAGCAACACAAGTACATGAATTACCATGTATTTTACGCATTGTGCCCAACTCATCCCAAAGCTTCTTCAGTTTATTAAAGTATGAAGCAATGTCAAGTGATCCTTGCTGAGTTGAGGCTAATTCCTTTTTAATTTCAAAGACCTTTGTCCCATTTACAGCCCCATATCTACGCTCTAGTTGTTTCCATATACTCTCAGCAGTTTCTGAGTACTGGACACTCTTAGCAATAACTGGTGAGAGTGAATTGGTTAACCATGAGATTACCATATTATTGCATCTATCCCACTGTCGTAATTTTTCAGGGTCGTCATTAGCAGAAGGTCTAGGACAAGAACCATCAACAAAGGTAATTTTATTTTGGCAGATAGAGACACTATCATGCTTCTCTTTCACCACCACCCCCCATAACCAGACCCAGAGAAAGGGGTACTGACTAGACACGTTCCAGAAATATCAGAAGAATGTATGAAAAGAGGACTCGAAGGTCAAGACTATACGAAGTTCTAGTAGAAGTAGTGTTAAGGTTTACAGGTACAATTGAATTCACCATAACTAAACAAATAGGAACAAATTGTATACAAAATAGAAATCAGAATCAACAGAATCAAAATTGAGAAACAACGCTAAACATGCATCAATGAGGCAAGGAAAGAAAAACTAGGGTTACCGATCTCCTTCTTTTATACTCGAAGAACTGAGCCTTGAAACACTATAAGCTGATAGAGAGTTGCCGGAACCATAAGAGAACGTCAACGCCGGAAAGAGAAATGAATTTCGTTGCCGAAATCTCAGGAACACCGTTCACCAAAAAAAAAAAACCAGCAACCTCGCAATCTCTTTCGATTCAATCAACAGGGGTAACACCGCTCCATATCTCACCCTTGGATCTACCAAAACCCTCGCTCTGATACCATGATAACATTGTAAATTGAATGAAAGATGATGAAATTTAGCTAGGGTTACAGTTGAGGTGAGAGAACGGAGAGAGAGAAAAATCAGACTTCTCTTATTTCATTTAACAAAAAACTAAGCTCAGAAAAATCAGACTTCTCTTATATATATATATATACACAAATGACAAAATAGTAAACTCCTATCAAACCTAATCGGATCAATATAAATACAG